CTCCCTCAATATAGGCTAACATTTGATCATTCACGCACACCGCGGAAATGCAGGGGAAACCGTATCTGATGGGTAGACACAGCTCGACATGGCGCCTCCTGCTGTAGGTTAGTCAGAACGACAATTCTCTATGTATCACGTGACTTTTGGCAGAAACTTACCGCGGAGTGTGAAGAATTGTCTTGTACGCGAGGAGAGGCTTTTTTGTATGCGAGCAGAGATTGTTTTGTACTTGGGGGGAACAATTTACAAATTATCTTTTCAGTGCAATGTTGGAGTCTGGCTTGCAAAACAAATTTGTGTGTGTGTGTGTGTGTGTGTGTGTGTTTGAAAAAAAGTTGTGTTTTTGTGTGACAGAGGAGAGTTTGTAACATTTTTATTTGTGAACAATAAGGTTTATTTCAGTGCAACATGTTTATTTGTGAGTGATAAGATTTGTTTGTGTGGAACATGCTTTATGCATTTGCAACATGCTTATGTGTGTGCGCAACATGCATTTTTGTATACAACGTTTTGGCAGAAGAATCACTCCATACATCTGAACTAATTTACCTGAGGCAGGGAAACTTCAGATATTGTTTTGGACACATCTCTTGATGTCCACAATGAGTTTTCCATGAACTTTTTCTAAAAGATTAATCAGAATTTCATTTAAATTTCTTTATTGACCTTACCATTACCCTTTGTCAAACCCTAAGCATGACCACTACATCCCAAACCTAAACCTAATTCACATTGTATTATCAATAATAGTTGCTAGGCCCAAAAAAGTGACTTACTTTATATCAAAGTACCCACTTTACCAGTAAAGTATTAAAAACATGTGCTCACTCAGCTACAAGTCTACACACACACTGACATATACTAATGAGGCTGACTGAATAATTATGTTTTAAATAGCATCAGAATGACCGATTGTAAATATGGACATGCGCCTGTTTGACTGAAGATAATAAAAATATTTTTTTTTCCAGGCTTGGTCTATGTTTCATCAACGGCAGTAAAAAAAGGAGTTGGAGAGACTGTGACCTTGTACCCTATCAAATCTGTGGAACCACTTAACAGCTTCCTGTGGTCCTTTGGTAAACACAATGTTGTTGAGGTCATCTCCATTGTCATCAACAAAGAAGTTACTCCAGTCAATGGGACCAGATTTGGAAGAAGGATGAACACTGATGTAAATTATGGATCGATCACCATCTCCAATCTCACTGTTCATGACAGCGGAATATTTCTCATTCAGATCTTAACAAATTCAAAACCCCTGATAGAAGAAATCCATCTGATTGTTGAAGGTATGTAAGGCCTAACCTAGCTTTAGTGTCCATGCAGCAATTTCTGATTCATGAATAACCATGAAAAAATACATATACGTTATTTTGCCAATGAATATCAATTTATTTTTCTTTTTTTAAAGATTTTTTTACACCGAAAACTGTTCTGGAGGGGAGAAATGTCACTCTGGCGACACCAATGGAAAAACTGGAAATGAAGCATACAGTAAATTGGACAAAAGAGGAAGATGCTAAAAAGATTCAAATTGCTCTGTGGAAAAATGGTCTCATCACGACTGAGGAATCCTTCAAGCATGTCCTCCAGGTGGATCAACAGACTGGATCCCTCACCTTCATCAGAATCACAAGAGACCTCCGTGGGATTTACAGGGTCAAAATAAAACAGGGAGAAGAAGTACACTCTGAAATTGTCTTCAAAATTACTGTATATGGTAGGTTTTTATTAACAAAACACTCAGTTCCTACAATTAATCTTAATTAGTTTCTCTTTTTCCTTATTGTACAAACGGAAAATATACCGGGTAAAATAAGTATTGAACACGCCCCCATTTTTCTCAGTAAATATATTTAGAGATGCTATTGACATGAAATTTTCACCAGATGTCACACAAACAAAGAGATCAAACCATAGATGACCAGAAAATAAGTTATGTGTAGCAAAGTGAAATGATTTGTGATCTTCAACAGCTACAGGCAGCTGAAAAGGGGGTTCATCTTTTTTATGAGGGAAAAATTTGCCAGCAAAGATTACTTTAACAAGTTGATCAAGCTCTATTTACATCTTCTTATTCTATTGGTTTTGCCATCTTTCTTTGACATGTTCTTGATGCCACTCGATCAGATAGAGATGTATTATTTCATTATTATATAACGCTTGCCTTTTTACCATGCAGAACCTGTTTGTTTTCCAAACATCATGAAAAAGGAGTTCAACATTACAAATCCACCAGAAGAAAAGATTTGCTATGTCACTTGTTCTGTGAGGAATGGGCCGGATGTGAACCTGACCTGGTTCAATGGTTTAAATCAAATCATCAGCATTAATAACACAGTGGACCTCTCTATGAACCTCAGCCTCCCTTTAGGGATCCAACCAGAGAAAAAAGGCAATTACACCTGTCAGGCACAGAACCCCGTTACATCGGAGAGAAAAATGCTCAGCTTAGCTCAGCTGTGTCCTTCTCATGATTCAGGTAAACCTCTCTATTTCTAATGCAAACTATTTGATGATGGTTTCATCTAAAACTGACATTCTTCAATTTCAGGAAACTTTAGGCAGATTTACATCACAAGATTATCAAGCTGATTTTGGCACAATCTCCCCCTTTCAAGAGCTTTTAAAGAGACTGAAATTAAAGAGATAATTCTGCCTTGTGCTGTGTCTTCAGAGCGATTGGGTCTGCTTGGTACAATGTTGCTACCCATTTCATTGCAAAACAAGGAAATTTAATATATCTTACCTATTGGATTGTCTTGATCTGATTGATTGATTTTTTTATTATTATTATTTTTTTTAAACAATTTTTTTTTTTACTATTGCAGTTTAATGCTGAGCATATACAAATCAGAAAGCTGATCTGGAAAGATGGCTGGGAGCTGTAGTATTCATCTCTGCTCCTCCTTAAAACAATAAAAAGTGAGCATGTATGTTTATAAAGAAGTTACACCCCTCTAGGTCTACCGTTTTTAATACATTGCTTCTGCTATGAACAGCATCAGGAAAACCCTTAGAGATTGGCTGGCTTAGGGAGCTTCTACTGGGGATAATCAGTGCGACAGCCTGCCGGCATGCCGGAGCTATCACACTGATTATAACCAGATTATTGCTGGTAATTGCTACTCCTCACTTTTTAGAGCATATAAATTCAAACCACTTTCTTGGCTGACCCTCTGTTATAAACAGAGACCATCTGTACACTCTCTTTGATGTGCATTGAGGATGCCAAAATTGCCTGTAGTTTGATGTGCTGCATTTTTGTTTTGGATAGAAAGAACACTGTTCTATGTACTGTTCTATGCCCAAATTAAATAGTGAGGGGTTTTGAACAATACCCTCCCATTTTAAAATCTTACTGTGTAAACCTGCCTTTAGTGGGTCTTTAGGAGACTCAGAGAAATAAAATGATTCATAGATTCTTTGTTGCTTGTTGTGACAAAGATGAAAATAATGAGGGATGAAAAAGAGTTCAAAAAAGCATCTTAGATAACTGTCTTTCATCTTTGGTCTAAAATCTGTTCTATAAACTAAATAAAATGTGCAGTGTGCTGTTTTACCAAGATTCCAAAAACTGCTCTGTACGTTCGCTGAAATTAAAAGAGAACTGTTGAGCTTATCGAGTGTAGAGCAGGCCTACCCGAAGTTGGTCCTCAAGAGTCAGCTTTGGTCCGACGTTGTCATAATGGGCTTTAAAGATCTGACCCACATGCAGAGAACCACTCAGAGACCAAGGGTAAAAGTTTAACAGGTTTATTGTAGGTTAGCAAACACTGATAGAGATTTAAACTCTGTGGGGAAACAATGCTGGAACTCAGAGGACTGGTGAACAAGAACCGGAAACTCTGAAGGGGAGATCACAGTTCAGGGACAGTGGGAAAATAGACTGAGGCTTGAATATTGCTGGAGAGGCACTCACCTTTGGGGGGCTCTTCGTTTATCCTTGGATCCTGTTTGTAGGGGTTTAATCCAGAGAAGACGAAACCCGTTGGAGAGCAGACAGGCAGACATACGTTGGACCCAGAGGAGTAAAGAAGCGGACTGTTACTTGGTTTTCCAGGAGCAGACTTGAATGGATAATGTGGAGGTTTTCCCCATGCTCAATGAGACTCAGTAAATCCTTCCAGGGGTATAAGGTCCAGGCTTATCTTGTAACACAGGAAGTCTTGCTGCCGAAGAACAAAGACAAAAAAAACAAGTTCAGACTCAGAGAAACAATGCTAAGGTTACACTCTGCTAATCTCAGTTTGGCTAGAGTACCCAATACTGGCAAGCACTCTGGCATTGAGGTGGTGACACCCCACTGCTCAAGTACTCCTCTGGTAATGACCAAATGAGCCGTAGGTGTGCAGGGAGGCCCAATGAGGACAGGGCACTGCCTGGTGGTGGAGAGAGGAAAACAGAAAAAACAACCCACACAAACTGGAATCCTAACAGGCGTGGTGTAGAGCAAACCTTATTTGCATTAACCTTTTTGTTTCTTAATCTTATAGATGTCTTACCTTGATGGGATTAATGCAAAATGTTCACTGCTACGTGATCATAGTATAGTTCACTAATTTTTCTTTCCTTTATAGTAAACTCAACATCTCCTGCCCCAACTACGGGACCAACTTACCAAGAAAAAAATTTAATAAAATTCCTTTACCATTCCTTTATAGATGCAACTAAGGTTTGGTGGCCTGTGATTACCTTGATCCCAGTCCTTGTGATATTCTTGTGATGCTGCGTTTTTTGCCTCTGGATGAGGAGGAGAAGCAGGGTATCCGGCCTACGAAATGGCGGCGACCGTACAATCCATCCAGAGACACCGCCGACGACGCCATCTTCTTCGTCG